AGAGAGAGAGAGAGAGAGAGAGAGAGATTTCCAGGCATGGATGTATGTATGTAATCGGCTGGTCGAGTGAGCCGGGGGTTCAGCAGCTATGGGGTAGGGCAGGGGTAAGAGAGAGAGAGAGAGAGAGAGAGAGAGAGAGAGAGAGAGAGAGAGCTGTGTGGAGACTGATAATAAAATTCTGTGAGACATTTCATGACTGACAAGCAGACTGACCAACAGACAAACCAATCGACTCAACCCGCCAGATAGCCTGCGTGCCCTTGCCCAGGCGACCAAGCTGGTTGACAGGACCCAGCCATCCACCAACCCGATCGACCTACCCATGGGGAGACCGAGCCGGGGTTCAGAAGATATAATTGCAATCAAGTGGGAGAAGGGAAGGGGCCACGGGGGTAGGGGAGGGGTGAGAAGAGAGAGAGATTCACCTGAACCATCTCACGAAGGACAGATGCACCTGAACCATCTCACAAAGGACGGGAGGACCAACCGATAGAACACCTGACTGACAGGCCAACCAATAGGCTCAACCTGCTCGACCACTAGCCTGCCGGAAGTTCTTTTCTCCAAGCATGGACATGTACATCCAATCTACCTCGGTCATTATAGCCGTATTTGAGGCAAGTTTCAGTCCAGATGCAGCAGTAACGACCAGGCGCTCTATTCGGGTGAAGACGGTAGTGCATAACTTTGAGGAATGGTTCACAAGATGTGATTCGGAAGACTTTCCCGAAGGTTGATATGCACTTTCGAAACCTGGAAATTCTGCTAACGTGCCTCGATCGACACCAGAGTTGACTCGAGGTAGGCTAGCCAAGCTATATATACGTCGGATAGGAGAGAAAGAAGAGAGGGGAGAGATGAGAGAAGAGGGGATTCTCTAATCCCCAATACACTTGCTTGGAGACTTGAGATGTTGAAAGATACTCTTTTTCAAGTTTTTCTGAGTTTTGTGCACTGCTTTTTTTCAAAACTTTGCTCCGGTCTATCCGTGGGGAGCAACACATGCTTGAAACTCCTGCTATACGGCCCTTCGCCGCACCACTCAGCAAATAAACAAAATGAGAATGTCTCTCCTGCTGGAAGGTGGAAAGATACACCTGCGGTGACCTGCCACCATGAGCCCAAAACACTCGTGAAGCAGCGCTTCTTTTTTTGGCATTTTGGGGGTGCCTTGGGGTCTGGCGCAGGTGGGGCCGCAGACGTGCC